AGTCCTGCCGAGGGGAGGCGGCCCGTTGTCATGTGGGGGCTGCTCGAGGAGGGGGGTGCCGCCTGCCGTCCCGGACATCCGTGCCACCCCGGTTGGACCCTGCGGAGACTAGTGGGGCTTGGGGTTTTTGCAGGATCCGGTGCCCCAGTTGGTTAACTGCGCTTGGAGATCACCTGTGTCTTTGGCCTGCGCTTACAGATTTATTTACTAGTTTAATGTCCTTTTGGAGCTGCTCTCTGGTTTGTGAGATTTCAGCAGTGGTGTTGACTTCCTTTCTATCTGTAATGAATAGAAACTTTTCATCTAAAGAAAACCCAGCAACGGCAAAGAAAACATGAATTGAGTTTTTCATGTGTTCTCTCATGTGCAAGATACGTGACTTTGTGGGAGGCATTGGATTTGCAACCATGTTGTGAGACCCTCTTTTATTTACTGCTGTTGCTGTTTCCTAGCCTGCCTTTAATTTCCAGGCAGGTGAGATCCATGCTCATGTTTTCAGTATTGTTCATCCCAGGTATTACAGTATTGCATTTTCATTGGAGCTACCCTGTGCAGTTGGATTGATAAGGGCAAGGTGATCAGATTAACTGTTTTGTCTCAGTTGCTACGTTGCTGTCTCCAACACCAGCAATGCTAACCCACTACATTGGAGCAAATGAAATGGACTTCACCTTTGGTTGCATCGCCTCTCCAGGGACTGTGATTATAAACTCGCATTCGTGCCCTGTTGTGCCTCCTTGTGACTCGTGCTACTTGCACGAGCAAGATTTATTCTAATGTAGTTGGCCATGCCAGTACTCCTTCTGAAATAGAGAGATACATAGAAGGGCTAGTTAGCCAGATCTAAAACTGCTTCCTTCTTAATATTGTCCAGATATTTGTTTCTGGACAATAGGCTGTTGAGAAACAAATTCAAATTATCACTTAAGATTATATGGGAAGTCTCAGTATTTTACATATAAACTAACAAAGAAACATAACATACTTTCCTGTGTACTTTTGTTAGTACATCTATACAAGATACATCATTCAGCTACATTATGCACGTGTACAAGTAATACAAAGACAAATTTATCCAAGAGCTTCCTTTCTCCTTCAGTCCTTCTGGTTCTGATCCTCTGATTGTCTCTGATTTTGTATGACTTTTCTGAGGGTACTAGTCCCTTGAGGACTTTTTCCAAGTACTGGTTCTTTTAAAGGGGGAGCACTTATGTAAGGTAGATAGGGATTACACAAAAGAAAATGTGGTTGTTTTTTAACATACTAGTTAACATGATAACCCTATGAAAGCCAGCACAGAAAGTAGTCAGAAGGCAAGTCTTAGCAATACTTGTGCTCCTTTTTAGTTATTTCAGTGTATATTTATCTTTGCACTTAAATCCTTATCCGCAGGCAGAGCTAGGCCTTAATGAGCACCACCAGAATGAAGTGATCAACTACATGCGCTTTGCTCGTTTCAAGCGTGGCCTGTGTCTCAAAACAGTGGATTCTTGTTTTCAGGACCTTAAGGAAAGCAGGTACAGGGGGCAGGGACGGGGAGGTGGGGTTCTGAGCCAAGAATAAAGCAAAATATGCTAGCAACAATTGCAGGTTTAAACGCTTTATGGGGTGGCTTTTCTCTGCTTACATTTGTATGTTCTTAGTGAGGAAGAAAGACCCGATAATTTTCCAAATGTTACAAGTCAAGTCCTTTTAAAACTAAGTTGTTCAAATTCTTAGGAATTAACATAGATATTGACAGCATGACATTGCTTTGTATCTTGCTTCTGATATCTAAATTTGATGTAAGACTGTAACAGAAGTAATATTTGTGATTGTAATGTTTCCAAGAGAAAATTTAAATGCAATAACAAAATTAAATACAATTAGTAGTGCCTCAGTCATCTAGTAACTACTGACAGTGGATGTTTTCAGAAGAATATTCCTTTATATGAGTGATACCTGTGTAGTGAGGTCTTGTAACAATGCAAAACTGTTCCCTTTATCATACATGACTCATCTTGACTGCTCTGTTTAGACTTGTTGAGGAGACCTTCACAGTTGATGAGGTGATAGACATGCTGGATGGACTGCGGACTGTTGTACACAGTGAAGTGGAGTCAGAGCTCATAAATACAACTTACACCAATGTTTTACTTCTGCGGCAGCTCTTTTCACAGGCTGAGAAATGGTACCTTAAGTTACAAACAGACGTCTCTGATTTGGAGAATCGGTAACGTATATTGGGCTATTTCAATAATAAGAAAACTTCAAAGTGTTGACTATTTGCATTCTTTTCCTTACCATAAAAAAACTGTTCTTCTACTATTGTATTGATGATAGGTTGGCTTCAGGTCTTCCATCTATAAATTAACAAGACACACAATAATTTCAGGTATCTTGGGAAGATGTTTTTATTGGTAATATTCTTACTTGAATTAATCACTTAAAGGAGGTGATAGGATTTGATTAAAAAACCTTTTCTGTCTGAGTAGATTATATTTTGATCAAGGATGCTAAATCTTACAGTTCCAGTGCATATACCATACCATTGCTTGACATTATCTGTGGCATTTACTGTATTTGCATAGGACTTCATTCTGTACTTCTAACAAGAATCTTACATGCAATAAAGAGTGTAGCATCAGCCTGGTAAAATGGGTTTCATAGCATAGCTATTTTAGTAAATAAATGCCTTCCTTTATTTTTCTTTTCAAGGGAATTGTTGGAACAGGTTGCTGAGTTTGAAAAGTCAGAATTTACATCTTCGAACAAGAAGGTAGAGCTTTATTTTAATCAAATCATAATCAAATGTCATGTGGAGTCATGGCAGATGTTTAAAATACTTAGTACTGACTCTGTGCTTAAGAGAGAAAACCAAAATGAAAACCTCACCCTTTTTCAAAGCAATCTTTGAAAGTCTCTAAAAAGTAGCGATTTGCAGTTCGGTACCAAGGCTTATGCTGAATTGCCTTGGCTGTTTCCAGATTGTGGATTCTGCACACCTGGAGCATGTCTCATAATCCTCATCCCAAAATTCAGCTAGACCTGGGATGTGTTGGAGCATCCGCTCCCAGATTCCTTTCCCCTGGTCACTGGGGTAAGGTAGGGACATTCGCTTGTCCTGAGGCTTTGTCCCAATATGGAGTCAAGAGCTGAGAAGATTCCACAATACAGATGTGACTCTAACTTATCTTGTATGATTATGGTTACACCTTATTTGGTTTGTAGCATAAATATGTATTTAGTTAATATATATTATATATTAATACTTAAGAAAATTAT